GGTTGTGAGTCTCACGTTCCAAATTCTCATGTGCCTTCTATTTTCCCTTGAAATTGTCCTCCGGGAAGATTCAGGCTTTTGGCCTCTTTCTGCAAGGAGTTGGGCCAGCATCTCTTTCACTTGGGCAAGCGTCTCTTGTTATGCCTGGATCATAACGTGATGTTCATTAACTATCTTTGCCAAGTTGTCAGAACTTACAGTCATGTAAACGGGAGTCTCATGTGTCACGATGGAGCTTGACGATTGAGAATCCGCAATTGCCCAAATGTTCATCATCTGAAGCAATCCCCTTGGCTAACCTTTGATAGTTAACTGGGCGAATAGCACCTGTGCAAGTCCGAGTGCACCGATATACTCCTTCGAACTCATCACAAATTTCCCAGACAGTCGGGGAATGACTTCTCTCTGACTCGTCAGAACTAAGAGCTGAAGCCTTCCCTCTGCTGATCACGCTAATAGTGACTTCAGGATATTCAGTTTCAGAAATTTTCTTCTTATGATGACGTTGTCACTTGGCAGGCCTGGCGATGTTTGTCAACCGGTCAAATACTGATTGTCGAGGTGCGGAGGTGCAACATTAGCATTCTGAGAGGCCTACGCAAATAAGTCGCTCACATTGACATGAATGAGCTATTTATTATGTAGGTCACCCTCTTGATAGCAATTCACATAAATCAGAGACTTGGGATGGATCTTTCACGGAGCTTGAGGATGGAGATGGAATCTCCTGCCCGTTAGTGGGTGGGACTGGTTCTTAACGAACATGAATTTTAAATCTATGTTGATCTTTATGAACTTGGCGGACCACGTCACGTTCTGGAGAAGAAATGCGAGGGTCGTGTTTGAATTTGTGAACACAAGGCCGAGGCCTACGTTCCTGAAGTGAAACGTGTCCTCAGGGATCACGTTTTGGTTGAACTCACTTCTGAGGTGTGCGTTTAATTGAGGAAACGTGCCCTTGGGGGTCACGTTTGGATGTTGAAACGCACCCCTGAGGTGTGTGTTTACTTGAGGAAACGAGCCCTTGGGGATCATGTTTGGATGTTGAAACGCACCCCTAAAGTGTACGTTTACTTTTGAAAATGCATTCCTAGGTACTGCGTCCATGATGATCAACGTTGTTTGGAGACCCACGTTCTGGCTCGGAAACGCACTCGTGAGAGTTGCATTCAGCTTTAGAAATGTTTTATTGAGGGTTGTGTTCTGGATGAACAACGCACCACTAAGGGTCACGTTTAAGTAATATTACACGAGGCTCATAGTTGGGCTTATCGCCAAGAAGCGTGCCTTCTGGAGCAGAAATGCAGCACTCAGGCAGAAGCTCACAAACGCGATCTTTGTGTTGGTCAAGAGATCGGCTATTTCGTAGGTACATTCGCCATATGGATCTTCTCCTTCTTCAAGCGACGTTCTTTTTTGCTTATTTCAATGCCTTGGCAACAAAGTCATCGGCGTTGATTGGACTTTCCTTCATCATAGGCCTTTTACGACCCATGACACGTCGTGTCGACACGGGTGTGGAATTTTTAACTCGTTGAATGAGTTTGGCAAAGACGGAGCCTATTCCTTCAGAGGAGGTGTTGTTTGAGCAATCTTAACCAAAGGAGAGGGCTTTCTTTGGCAGTGTAGCAATAGTTTTGATCTCTTTGAAGATCTTATAGATGTTGCACCTAGCCTTGGGGCTAAGCGATCCAGAGGAAAGAGCTTCCTCGTACTTGGCTTGGTCAAACTCTACGACGAGAGTTTCAATGGTTGTTCCAGCAAGATGGATATCGGATTGCGCCACTACTTCGCCGTCAAAGAAGCTTGTCCCTAGCGGAGTTGTCATCTTTTGTTTGTTGAAAAATTTGCAATAAGAAAATGATGAAAGAATCGTATTTGATTTTATTCTCTCTAACTGCTTAGAAAAAAATGCTTACAACTCTCTCAAACTTAATTACAATTCAAATTTTTTGATTACAAAAGAGAACAGAATCGACGGAGATCCTCCCCTTTGTTTAATTCTGGGTTCTTCACGGTGGCGATGGAGTTCCTCCCTCGAATGCTCATGTTGAGTTTGCTCTCCGTTGATGATCCGCACGTCTTAATTCACTGGAACAGCTAACTTGCGTGGCAAGTTTGAAAAGGAACTCTTGACGAGTTTTATATAACTTGGAATGAGTTTAAACTCTTGTGAAAAGAGTAGTTTTAACCAAAAATTTGGTTGATAAGCCAAGTGTTAAATCTCTGAAAATCTTCTGTTGCTGAAGATCGTTGCCTTAAGATCTTTTGGATGATCTGATCCAAAAAATCCTCCTCGAGCTGCCTAGAAAGTCCAACTAAAAATCTCCTCTTTGCTGCCAAAACTGAAGAGTCCGAACTCAGTTGAGTTTGTTGAGATTTATAGGAGGGGTAAGGGGTGTAACTGACCCCTTAATCCGCTCCTAAGTGGGCGTGATTTCCTCAGATCGTGGGAAAAATAGTTTTGAAACCGTTCGGCTCATGTTTGAATGAGTCAAACGCCCAGGTCAGTGTTCGGGACCCTAACTCTGTGTCTTAGGCTGGAGACGCGGAGTTGGGCATCTGCTAGATGTTGAAAACACAGGGGTCACCTGTGTTTCGAATTTTGAATGCAGGGATGAGTTCTGCGTTTTGGAAGAAATTGTTGACTTGTGATCTCTTCTAAAGGGCATTACAAAGACCATTGTTCAGTAATTTTCGCTTTAGTTGTTTAGGGTGTGAGAGTCGTCAGATTATAACTCTCACAGTTGATTGTGAAGGCTATTGAATTAGGGCTTTCATCAATCGTCGTGAAGGTTGTCAAATTGTAATATTTCTCGATCTATGTGAAAATCCTCCAATTGCAGCTTTTATTTGTTGACATGAAAGTTATCTGATTATAACTTTCGTTATCAAGATTGTTGGTTGAGGTTTGATAGGGATCAGCTATCTATTGTGATTTGTAGACAGCCTACACCTGTGATGCGCTGATGCTTTACCTTCACCTGCTGACATACCAGGTACTTCGCCACACTACGAGCCACGTCTCTCTTCATACCATGCCACCAAAAGTTTAGCTTTAGGTCCTTGTACATCTTCGTACCTCCGGGGTGAATAGAGTACGGTGAGCTGTGAGCTTCCCATAATATCTCCTCTTGAACATCTCCTTCTGGTACGCAGATATGACTCCCAAATCGTAAGGATCCATCTTCATGAACAACAAATTTTGACCGAAGACCAGCCACTGCTAACCCTCTGCACTTCTAAAGAAATGAGTCACCTGCTTGTGCAGCCTTGATTCGCAGCACATCATAAAGACTTCTACAAACATGTCCAGCACATCATAGAATAACAGGTTCATCAGGTTCATGAATTTCACCGGCGCATTAGTCACGCCAAACGTCATCACTAAGAATTCATAATGTCCATATCTCGCCCAAAACATAGTCTTGGGAACATCAGAGTCCTTGACCTTCACCTGATGATATCCATTCCGTAGATCTAGCTTAGAAAATACTCTCGATCCACCCAATTGGTCAAAGATATCATCGATACGGGGAAGTGGATACTTATTCTTCACTGTCACAGCATTCAACTCCCGATAGTTGATGCACATCCGCTTGGATCCATCCTTCTTTCCCACAAGCAACACAGGTGCTCCCCAGGCCGATACACTGGGTCGTATCAAGCCTCTCTACAAAAGACCATCCAATTGAGTCCGAATCTCGGCCAACTCAGCCGAAGGCATATGATAAGGAGTCTTGGAGATCGGAGCAGTTCTAGGCTTTAATTCTATGGAAAACTCAATTGATCGATCTGGTGGCAATTCGTAAATATCATCAGGAAACACATCTTCAAATTCTAGAACTACAACTGGCTTCTCGGATTCCACTTGCATTGCAACAAACGTCGCCTTCTTCGGTCTAGCTCTGTAATCTAATAGTCCAGCCGATGTACTGCCACTAAGGAATTCAAACCTCGGGTGATTCGGTATCTCAAATACTACACTCCGACGGCGATAATCAATGGTGGCAAAGAATGACCCAACCAATCCATTCCAAATACTACATCAAAGCTTGGCAAATCAATCACCAGAAAATCTGCAAAGAGCTCTCTCTCGCTGATGACCACTGGGCATGCTTCATAACGACTGGATGCTACTAAAATGCCACTGCCAGTGTTGATATTCTAGCCCATAGACAGAGGAGTTATAGGAAGAGAGTGGGTACTCGCAAATTGACGAGACAAGAAACAATGGGAAGCTCCAGAGTCAAAGAGTGATAAAGCAGGAACACAAGAGACAAGAACCTTGCCTATTATAGGAGGAGGTAAATGCAACTAACTTAGTACTCATAAACAATCCTATCATAATATCATCAGGTAATGCTAAATAATGAAGTTCATATGCAAATAAAACTAAGAGTGAACAATTCTTACTAGTGATAACCTGGTCTTTCCCCTCAGCTTCCACAACTGACATCATAAACGTCCGACGTGATAGTTGCTGTCTTCACGCTTCCTGATAAACCTGCTGCTATGGAGGAAGAGGCCCTGCTCGAGGATAGGGTCCGTGCTGAGGCGGGACTGCTGGGGTAGGTCGAGGTGGGGTTGGAAGAGCTGCTCGAACTGGAGGTGGGGCAAACGAACCTGCTGCTTTTGTGGATAGTTCGGACTGATATGGTCGGAGGACCCACAGGTGTAGCATAGACGAAGGCGCTTGCAGCATTCCTGTTGTGTATGCCATAATAGGAACACTTCACCGAAGGTTGGCCGCGAGTCTGCACTCCAGGACGCTGATAGGGGTGACCCTGAGGAAATGGATGACTCTGAGAATGTTGCTACCTCTATAAGGCCTGCTGCTGCTGCCTCGGAGGGGGACGCTTGACATTTCTGACTGGAGCTACTGGAGTTCTGCTCTGAATCACAAGTGGGTTTTCAGGTTCCTTCAGTACACTCTTGATCTCACACATTGCATCCAGCATAGTTTCATAAGTCGCAAGTGCTCTACCAGCCATAGCAAACTAAATATACTTATCCAGACCCTTCTGGAACTGATGCCTCCTAATAGTAGGGTATGTAACCAGGTGGGGAGCATATCGACTTAGGGAAGAGAACTCGGCTTCATACTCATCAACTGATCGACCTCCCTGCTTGAGCTCAACAAATCTACGCAGGAGTTCATCCCGAGCTGACTGAGGAAAATACTTCCTGTTGAAGCACTCTATGAACGTCTCCCATAGGATTGGCCTCTTAAGATGGGTCTTCTCAGCTGCCCACCAGATCCGAGCGGTATCAGTGAGCTGGATATCCATAAGATTCACCCATTCAGTAGGGGAAATACGGGTCACCGTGAGGATGGTCTTGGTAACCTTCAAGAACTCCTCCACTGCTAGAGGTCCTTCAGCACCAGAGAAGGAAGGGGGTCGCATGTATCGAAATTCCCTAACACCAGACTCTGCGCGAGGGGGAGGTTGGTGTTGTGGCTCTCTCTGCAGTGGCCCAGCCAGGTGCTGTTGATTAGTAACCACTCCCTGAATCATCGCCAGGAGTTGGTTCGGGTCCACTTCAGGCGACGAGGCACTGCTACCAGACGAGTTACTATAGCCACGCATACCCACCATGGTTCTGAAGGAATACGAGGATCAAAAAGAAAACTAAGGTTAAATTCAAAACAATATATTGGGAAAATAGGAACTAAAACATAGTTATTAAGATAATAGTATAAGAACTTAATTGTAGTCTTACGGATAAAATATGATATGTATCTAAATTATCCATTATATTCTTACTAGTGAGGACTCGGGACCGGGACCTGCATGGGCCACCAAAAAACCTGTCACGCCCTGCTTCCCAAAATACCGGGAAATCAAAATGTGAACAAGCCCGCGACGTATTAGATTGAGGAGAAATATACACTAAACCTTTTCTTCTCAATCTAATACGCTAAGCGTCAAGCAAAAGAATATCAGTCACAGGTCCTTGATCACAAATAGCAAGAATATAGCAAATAACTCATAATAAGAAATAGACATATCAGCAAAAGTAGCATCCGAGTCATAAAATACGGGTCAAACATGCCCTTATTACAAAACGGTTCAACTAAGAATATAAAAAATACATAGTCCATAATAAAAGGAAGGTACTGCTAAAATAACTAAATCCAACATCAGTTTAAAGAAAAATACTAAAAGAATTCTAGTGTTCATCAACTACTTCAGAAGAAAACAACTAGGCTTCAGTTTGTCGTTCTACTCTATCTGGAAGACAATCCGATTGGGCATACACCGGCTCTACTGTATCATCATACTGAACCTGTCTGTCCCCTAAATCTAACGCACACCAGAGAAAACAGGTGTACGTTAGCGTGCATGGTACACGACAAGATCCCACATGGAAGAAAGAAACGGTCGAATGACCAATGCAATGACAGTAATAATAATAGAAAATACAAAGATGCGTGCAACTGGAAATCTAACAAGTCAAAATGTAATCCAGTACTAAATCATGATAAACATAAAACTATCTGCATACAGTAACCGGGTCGAATACTAGCCATCCTAAAAACTCACTGGTCCACATCTCAAATAGGTCAAGGTTCGCATCCTGAAAAACTGACTGTTCTCGATAAGAGGACTACACGCAATCCGATTTCAGCCTGGTTCGAACTCAAGCAAAACTCGGGTGACGAAACGATTTCACTGGCCATGTACGAAACAATTCATTGGCCTAACAGACTAACCCCAGCGTGAAACGGTTCACTGGTGTGAGCCTGGAAGATAATCAACAATCGTATCCGATCATGCGAACTAAGACTTTCCTACCCCCAACATCTCTTGTCTTTCTAAGTCAACAAACACGACCTATAATAGAATTCTAGTTCACCTCCTAATTTAGTCAACGCACCCACACGTGTCACTAAGTCTGTTCATGACGCACGAGGTCACTAAGTCATGAACTACTAATGGTTCTCAACCCAACAAGGAATAATAAATAAATATAACTACTTCTAACATTATGACATGTCAAATATATTAAAACAAGATCGTACAAAATGAATAGTAATTATGAACAGTAAAAGTATGCATGCAATCCGATTTCATCAATATCTTGTTATTCAAAACTCTAAACTACTCATAAAAGTATCAGCAGTTAGGTAACATCTAATATAACTATGATCAAAAAGGAAATTGAAATCCGTGATTGTTTTGCACACGAAATGTCGCGGTCTACAACCATCAAACATATGATTATAAATTAATTTAATCCAAAATAAAATAAACTTTTTATAAAATAAATTCCTTTAAACTATTTATAATTATTCTAAGATAATCTTTTCTAAAAATAATTTAACAATTCAAAATAACCCCCTTTTCCAAAATAAATTATTTTAAATTATCTATTTTAATAATTATTCAAAACTAACCTCCCTTTCCAAATAATTTCTTTTCTCATCATAATAATCCTAAAACATCTCAAAATAACCATTTTCTTTAAATTATTTATTATAATATCATTATTTAATATTAATCATCAACAAACCCATGCAGTTATCACAATCTTCATACTGTAGCATAATCAAATCACAGTCTAATCGAAGAATATAATTAATTCATAATATATCTAAAATTTGAAATGACGAGTCAAAGAATATCAGGATCTTGCCTAGGGTTCGTGGGCGTGAACGGAGCAGCGGGGGTTGTTGCGAATGGATTTGATGGGGGTCTCGGTGGTGAGGGGAGGCGAGCGGCACAACGTCGAGGTTGGATCTTATGGAGAGGGTGCGGGGANGTGGGGTTGATGGCGGGGCTGGAAGAGAGAGAACGAGAGAGGAGAGAGAGAAAGGTTGGGCAGCGTGAAAACGTGAATAGGAGAGGAGAAAGAGGTGATATATATATAGGTATGTAATTAGGGTTAGGGTTTAGATATTAAATGAAAATAATTAATAAAAAATATAAATACTTACATTTTAAATCAAATAATTATGGGAAAATTATCTCCAAAATAAAATGTACCAGTTATACTAATACAATAGATAATATGCAATAGTAAAAATAATACAACAAATTATACAAATAATAAAATAAATTGTACAAATAATACGTAATATTAATAATAATACATTATATTATATGAAATAATACGTAATAGTGATATTAATACATGTATTATTCAAAATGATATGTAATAGTATCGATAACAGAATGGATTAATTGCAGAAATTTTTACTGCACTAAGTTAATTCATAAATATCAAAATTATTTAAATAAATATAAATTTTGGACTTTTAAATCATTGAAAATTCTAGAAAATCGAGAAAAAAATATAAATACTCTTTTAAAAATAAAAATAAAAATTAAATATTTTAAAATACCAGAAAAATTATTTAACTAGTATCAAAATTAACGGTCATTACAGCACGTATGACATTAGATTCATCGTCAAGAGTAGTTACTTAAAGTGTATCAACACCATGGATTATAGCCTTCATATATAAGGAAATAAAAATTTCACAATTAAAACTGCATGATATAAAGTAGCAAGCTAGTTAGATATATAATATTGGATAAAATGAAAAGATTAAATTTATGAAATAATAACATTTCAGACTGTTGATTGCAAGAGACGGCTTCATATTTGTACTTTCTCCAAACATTCTGGGGATAAAATGAAAAGATTAAATACTAACAAATGAGAATTATTGATATGCATTGCTAATAGCTAACGACAAATGATAATTACAACATGCAGTTAAACCTCCACTTGTTAAAACACTTTTTACGCTGCAGCAGCTACCCTATGTTTCATCTACTTTGCTTTTGCACAATATTCTTTTGATGTATTAACATCATCCAACCAAATAATTATGTTGACATTTAGACATACTTTGAACAATATAGAACTCCAATTATCCTAATCCAAACACACCCCAACAAATTCATATAGATTTCATAAGAACTTCAAAAAATGATCTTTGCTAGCAAAATTACGTAGAAATCCTGCCGCCATATGGAACTAATCCAATTTGGACACAAGGCAACTAATATATTAAGTCATCCAAAAATTCTTATCACCGCATCAAAACAGACAAAAAAGCTAATCTATTCATAAAAAACAAAACAACTAATCTATTCATCAAATAGCTAATTTATTTACTTACAATCTTCAAATCTATCAACCCATCAAAAGACTAATACATGGTCAGTCTTGCAATATTCAAACCGCCCTTCCTCTCATCCATCAACGACTCCTCCAAATTCCTCCGCAACCATTCCCCAATCAGATCCAGCGACAACTGCCCTAAAACCAAAAAAAAACCCTAAAAATATCGATACAAATCAAATCTTTGCACCAAAAGAAAACAGCTGCTGCTAGCACCCCATTACCTTGGACTCTGCTAGTCCGAGCTGAATCACCCTGCTAGGGTTCGACACCGAATCGTATGGATCCTCAGCACACCTCTTCATCCTAGCATAGTAAGCAGAATCTTTACCCCTAGCAACAGCAGCGGCACGTGTCGACACGTGCGCCAGCGTCAGAGAGCCACATGGCGAGAGGTAGGGCCGGAACTTGGGTCAAAAGATGGCGGCGACGTCCGCGTCGGAGAGATCGCCGGAGTTGGAGGATGAGCAGCGAGTTTTAAAGTAGAGTTGGAAGAAGTAGAAGAGGGCGCAGTGGATCAAGTTGCCGAGGACGAGGCCGCCTCGGGCTTGGACGCCGCCTTGGAGAGGGATGATGATGCGCATCGACGCGCCAGAATCAGAACGTGCCGGTGGTTGGGAGCTCGTGTTAGCTGTGCCGGCCGATCTGTTACGAGTTGGGTTCAGTTTCATTTGCTTATGCTTTCCCTCTTCCTTTCTCTCTTTCTCTGCTTCTCTTCGGAGTCTTTACTCTTTTGGGGGATGGGTCAAGGGCAGTTTTGGGTTTTGGTAAATGTTTCTCTCCGTGCTGAGTTGGAAAGGTAAATAGGGGCTTAAACACAATTATTCTATGTATTGGGGGCTTCCTCATACAAAAAATAATACGGGGGGCTAGTCACAATCACTTTCTTTTTGGGGGACCTTAACACATTTTTCCCTTTTTATTAAGACGTTGATTATAAATAAGGGTAACTATCAGAAAACCCTCCTTAACTTTGGAGAATTTTCGAAAAACCCCTCGTAACTTTCAAAATATTAGAAAATCCCTCTTAAATATTGAAATTACCACAAAATCCCCTTTAACTTTTAAAATTAATCAGAATACGCACTTTAACGTTTAGATTTTAACACAAAACTGTTAGACCCTGGGGGGGTGATTATGGTCTTATGATAATCTAATCCGATTAAATGCCAATTAAAACTTATTAACAAGTTATCCTAGCAAGTATGAAATACAACAATGTATATGAGCTAGGATAAGTAATATGAATATGATATATCCTAGCAAAGAGATATATAGCAAAATATATATGAAATGATATATAAACTAACACAAGGGTAACATACTCAAACACACTATATGATCACGGAGTTCGGACCTTCCGTCCTACGTCTCCGCTCCCCACTCCCGGGGAGAAATCCACTAACACAATCCGGTTTGGAAGCCGGAACTTCTTCTACACACTCGGTTTTCTAGCTAACCG